TACGATTTTACAGTACTTAATAGAGCTGCGAAAAAATCGATTCTCAGTGCATCGATTCTTTTCGATCTTTTAAGAAATAAAATCGATTAAATCGATTTTTTTTTTTTAATGTATATTTTTTTTATATTGAGATCATTTACTTCATTCATATATCTTATCATATAACTTAAAACTAAAAAACAAAGAAAATTAAAAATATTCATAATAAAAACAACAATTTTTAAGCTTCTAAAAGCCATTGATTTCTGCCCACAAAAATCAGTCTATTAACCGTATCCGGTTTGAGAGCTGCTCGTCTGTCCGAAATTATGTAGCTGGCTCTGCTGAAAATTCGCTCAGACTCCGTCGAGCAAGCTGGAATACACAAATATCGATACGCACACTTCTTTAAAAACTCCATTTCAGTGGCGTGAGTCTGACGAAAAAGAAAACGTAGTTATGATTTTAGCAGTGAAATAAGATAAAATAAATGAACAAACCTTCTAATAGTCCAGGACACTAATATTTGGACTAGCATGTGGCTTCTCCAAATATTGTCGAAGAACAATTATTGAATCCGATTTTGGAGTTTTGGCTCTGTCTGACAACTTCGCTTTCATGAACGAAAAAAAGGCTAAATCCCCTCCGGAATTTCGGGCTGGGGTTTCGTGTGTTGGTGGATCCGGTGTTGAAACAGTAACAGAATTCAAATATTTGGCAAGTTCGGATATTTCATTTCGAAGAAATTCAGCAGCTGAATCAGCACAACTGCTGCTTCGGAAACCTTCTTTCTTGAATCTAGGATCCAGTATGGTGGCGATTTTTGGATTTGTTCAATTTTCGTACTGAAAAAGCCGTTTGTTAATTTGTTCCAGCAAAATGTTGCAAGTCTCTATGCCCTCGAAAGTTTTCAATGACTTGTGCATGTCGCTGACACGGTGGTGGAGATCAGCAGAGAGAGGTATGATTAATGATATAGTCGCATAGGTGCTTCCAGAAACCCTGTTTGTGGCCGAATCAAAAGGCTCAAAAAGAAGTTCCAGGTCATTGAGAATAGAAGCCTCATCTGCTGTCAGTGGTGGAGGTGCATTTTTTGTATCTAGTAGGACTTGAGAAACAGCGTCTTTTATTTTCAGGATCCTGCTCACCATTTTGTAGAAACTATTCCAGCGTGTTGGAACTTCTTGTGTCAATCCATAACAGGAATCGGGTCCCTGAGAAGTTTTTAGCTTTGAATAAGCTATCGAGCTACTTTTAAAAAGGTTACAATACGTTTACACTTGGAACCGATCGGTTTTATGTTTTCCAACAAAAGAGTGTCTTGCATAATTAAATTTAGCGTGTGAGCAAAACACGGCATATGCCTCTTTTGAAGAATGGAGCAGGCTTTGATCATGGACGCAGCATTATCTGTAACAATGGCAGATACTTTTGTCAATTCCCATTTGGACAAAACCGTATGTATAGAGATGGCGATATTTTCGCTTGTCTGATCCTGATCGCTTAAAAGTTTTTTTTGTCGACAAAACTGCGGTTCTGATCTCAAAGTCTTCCAAAAGAAAATGACATGTGACCGTCAAATAGTGGTCATTTGCCCTTGATGTCCAGCCATCCTTTGTCAATGCACAGTACCTTACATTTCTTAGTACGTCCATTAGTTTTTTCTCCATGTTATTGAACATATTTGTTAAAAAAACATAATTTAGTGTTCTTCGGCTAGGTAATGAGTACTGCGGATCTAGGCAGTGGACAAATTAGCGAAAGCCTATGTGATCAACGATTCGGAATGGCTGAAAGTCAGTTGCGATCATTCTTATCAAAGCCTTATCAAGCGCATCTTTCCGGGACGAGCCACTTTCGTATTTCCTTGGCTGTGTGGAGTCGTAAAACTCTTCTAGCAAAGTGGGATACGCTCGCGTCATCTCGTTAAAAAGATTAGTGGTGTTGCCACAGGTCTTGTACACCTTCCCACAGGTTAGGCATTGGGCCGCTCCACCTTGTAATCCTTTAAAATAATTCCAGACATTGGACCTGTGACATTTTCTTTTACGCTCCGCTCCGCTGTTTAACTCCTCATCTGTTTCCTAATCAATTATAATAAAAAGTTATACATATTAATAACAAATTACAAATAAAGCACTTATTATAAGTAACTTGCTTTTTTCCAATTTCCAAGAAACAGCTATTTCTTGGAACTTGAAACAAAATACTAAAATGGCAGCACCAGACTGCCAGCATGTGGCTCATACCGAATTAATTACCTTTTACTTCCAAAAATTTGTCTATTTTGTCCAATCCTCCGATCCACCAACACACGAAATTTTTGTATGGAAATAAAAAATAATAAATAAGGATTTTGAAACCCTTAAAACCTAAATTACCTTTTACGACCAGCGTCAACCCATGCCTTTTTGAATGTGATGAAACTTGGCCTAAAAGATCGATTCTTTGAAAAAGAAATCGTTGTTTTCACGAAATTAAAAAAAATCGATAGTATCGATGTTGACATCGATTTTTTCGCAGCACTAGTACCTAAAACTTTAAACGCGTTTTTCTCGAAACCACTTTTTTTGAGACTGCCGGACACATACATAACTCGAACAAATATTAACCGATCGATCTGAAATTTGGACAGTATATTCAAAATACCTTTATTATTTTACACACGTAGGATTTTTTTATATTGTTTACTTTTTTTTATCAACAATTTTGTGACTTTTTTATTCGTGAACATTATAACTTTTTTCAATCCGTCACCATTTTGAAAAAAATCAATATATCGCAAAAATCCTACGTGTGTCGATAGCTGTTGATGTATAGAAACCAAAACCAAAACCAAACCAAACTAACCAAACTTTTTTGTTCTGAAAAATTAAGGACGTTAGCTGTCCGGCCATGGACCCCCTTCAACAAAAAAAGGCCTACGAAGAAATGCTGCTGTTTTCGATTTATTCGAAAAAAATTTATTTTGTACTTCGCATCTATATTATAAAACCTATTTTACAAATTTTCGATTGGCTTTTTCATTTGGCCAGAAAATTCGCTTTTTTTCCAGTTACTCAGACGTTTATTTATGTTCAATTTACCAATTAGGACCAAATGTTACGGCCCTTATTATTAAAACGTACCTCCACGAATTTCACCAGAATGCAGGAACCCGATGACGGCAATAACGCACTAAAGCGACAAAAACCACTAAAATGTGGTAACGCGTTTTAAGTTCGAACAGTTTCATTTGTCCTAGTTTCACAACAGGGACAAGAATCAAAACTTGGGTTTAAATTTTAAACTACAGAGTATGAATCTTATAATATGTGGTGTTGAATTACTACTAAGTATAGGTTTCATACTATTTGGTAATAAATTAATTCTGATTTCCTGTATACTGCCTGTAGTTTTTTCTTGAAGCCAGGAGTATTAATTTTAAACTTATTTTTATGTGGTATAAAAATTACACCACATATTAGAATTGTAGACTCTACGGTATAGAATTGACACTAAAAAGTATAGGCATTATTATTCATATTCTTAGGTATTGAATTAATACGTATACTTTAATACTGTCGATAATTTCTTTTTAATACACGTTTATTAAAATTACACTTTCGTTTTTTTTTAGGTGTAGATCCTTGGAACTGGTAACGGCGTAATATGCGCTCTCCTTATAGTGAGAAGACGAAATTTGTTTTTATTTTTGACAGTTGTGTTCCGTTTTTATATATTTTTAAGTAAACGACTATGCCAAAGTTTCCAGCTGTATTAAATGAAATTCCGAATATTATTCTTAGCATACAGTTTGAGGCTAAGATTAATTAAATAATATTAAACGTATTTTAATTGCCGGAGAATAACTATCATCGGTAAAAATAAAAGTCGCTATACGTAATAAAAGTCAAAAGATGGCTGCAGCAATAGATTAAAAAAAATGTATTGGCAATAGATGGCGTCAAAATTTAATTCAAGACCTCTAGCGGAATGGCAAATAACATAAAAAACATCGGTAGGCGATGAATTGCCCAAAAATCGATGGCGATAGATGGCACATTATACGGTCCTCACAGAGCCACTTACAGTTTTTGCGAAAAAAAGTAGATAGAGGTAAAATCAAAATTGGACTACCGCCAACAGAAGTAATAATAACGCAGAACTAAAAACAAATTACACATTAGTAAGTGAAATTTTTTACAATTTTAAAAACATACGAAATCTATCAAATTCATTCATGATTGTTCTATAACACCTTTAATAAATAGTAATCCGATCAACACGATTTCTTAGCGTCATTTAAGACAAAATCGCTGTTGATTTAATATGCCATTCAAATTCACAAGTGATTCAGGTTTCAGACTCTTAAAACTATATTTGACCCAAACCTTATTTTTATGCAATTATACATAAAATGTTATTTTGACGAGATATATGTATGACAACCATATATAAAATCTACAGCAGAGCTCTGTTGGCGTCGATGTTTTACATACTTGCAGTACATTTTGACGAGTAATTATACCCGTTACTCGTAGAGTAGAAGGGTATATTGTATTCGTGCAAAAGTATGTAACAGCTAGACGGAAGCGTTTCCGACCCTATAAAGTATATATATTCTTGATCAGGATCACTAGCCGAGTCGATATAGCCATGTCCGTCTGTCCGTCTGTCTGTCCGTATGAACGCTGAGATCTCGGAAACTATAAAAGCTAGAAGATTGGCATTTTGCATGTAGATTTTAGAAGTTTCTACGCAGCGCAAGTTTGTTTCAAAATGGTGCCACGCCCCCTTTAACGCCCACAATCGCTTAAATACGATTTTAAAAATTTAAATATTTCGGAAAAGTAAAAATGCAGTTTTATTGTGTTTATCAATACCTATCGAAATGTAGAAGAAATTTTTCAAATCGGACCATTCGTTAAAAAGTTATGCGTGATCAAAGTTTCTATCTCCATCTCCCTCGCACTCCCTTTACCTGAGTAACGGGTATCTGATAGTTGGGGCACCCGACTATAGCGTTCTCTCTTGTTGAGGACTAATTTCCTGTAAAAAAAGGTTTTGAAAAAGTTAAAAATTAGAAAACAAAAATATTAAAACAAGAGCTACAAGCTACAACCTTTCTCCGAAAATCTAGTATGCTAAAAATATCTATATAGGGGTCACCATTAGTTATATAGCGTCAGTAAACCGCCGGTAGACTGTTGAAAACAACGCATTTTTCACGACACTTTCAAGAAACAAAAAGAGATAGTTCATACGAAAAATGACTGAAAGCGAAACGACTGTTGAATCTTTCATGAAGTGGAAACGCCCTAAGATTTAAATGTCAGCGCATCGGCGAGGAAATTGAAACAACGTGATTTTGAAGTCATTGAAGTGGATTTTTCGTTCGGCTATCATTTCGTCACTTTTGTAACAGTTTTTGATGCCCTTTCGAACGTCGTTGTGTGTAAAGTGTGTCATTCTGAAGTAAAATTCTCAGAGAGCAGTAAACGAGGATTGGGATTTAAACTTGTTGTATCCTGTGATAAATGCGAGAAAAAAGAAATACCGAATAGCACATACATCAAGAATGCCTACGAATAATCGAAGAATTATTTTTGCCATGCGATTGCTTGGAATCGGTCTGCATGGAATAAGAAAATTTCGCGCGTTTATGGAATTGCCCCGCCCCGTCTTTCAAGCGACTTATGACAGTATTATCGCACACATTTTGTCTGCAAGAGAAGTAGTTTTCAAGAGCAGTATGTCAAATGCAGCACAAGAAGATGATGTTTTCGAAGCCATAAAGCCGGTATACCCGCTGCATTGGAGGATACACGCAAAATAACAATGAGAGTTTCAACTCGACTGTGTGGGCGATGGCTCCAAAAACGATGAATTTCGGTAAAAAAAATAATTGATATTGCTGCCAATATTGCTACATGTGTTTTTAACGATGGCTTCATGTCAATTTTGACTACATGTAATATCATGGGCTTGACAATCGGCTTGAAAAGTTTCGAGTTTTGCCAGGCAGTGGACCAGAACCGCATCAAAAAAGCAGAATAATCATTGAGTGATGGAGCAAAACAGGCCCGCCTCGACTTAAAAGCTGTTTGGAAGGAGAAGCAACGGGTGGACATCGATATAGAAGGCCAATTGTATGATGCAGGCATCGCAGATTAAAGGTAATTGAAAGTTTTATACGATTTTACAGTACTTAATAGAGCTGCGAAAAAATCGATTCTCAGTGCATCGATTCTTTTCGATCTTTTAAGAAATAAAATCGATTAAATCGATTTTTTTTTTAATGTATATTTTTTTTATATTGAGATCATTTACTTCATTCATATATCTTATCATATAACTTAAAACTAAAAAACAAAGAAAATTAAAAATATTCATAATAAAAACAACAATTTTTAAGCTTCTAAAAGCCATTGATTTCTGCCCACAAAAATCAGTCTATTAACCGTATCCGGTTTGAGAGCTGCTCGTCTGTCCGAAATTATGTAGCTGGCTCTGCTGAAAATTCGCTCAGACTCCGTCGAGCAAGCTGGAATACACAAATATCGATACGCACACTTCTTTAAAAACTCCATTTCAGTGGCGTGGGTCTGACGAAAAAGAAAACGTAGTTATGATCTTAGCAGTGAAATAAGATTAAATAAATGAACAAACCTTCTAATAGTGCAGGACACTAATATTTGGACTATCAAGTGGCTTCTCCAAATATTGTCGAAGAACAATTATTGAATCCGATTTTGGAGTTTTGGCTCCGTTTGACAACTTCGCTTTCATAAACGAAAAAAGGCAGCATCTCCTCCGGAATCTCGGGCTGGGGTTTCGTGTGTTGGTGGATCCGGTGTTGAAACAGAATCGGAATTCAAATTTTTGGCAAGTTCGGATATTTCATTTCGAAGAAATTCAGCAGCTGAATCAGCACAACTGCTGCTTCGGAAACCTTCTTTCTTGAATCTCGGATCCAGTATGGTGGCGATTTTTGGAACTGTTCGATTTTCGTATTGAAAAAGCCGTTTGTTTATTTGTTCCAGCAAAAAGTTGCAAGTCTCTATGCCCTTGAAAGTTTTCAATGTCTTGTGCATGTCGCTGACACGGTGGTGGAGATCAGCAGAGAGTGGTATAACTAATGATATAGTCGCTTAGGTGCTTCCAGAAACCCTGTTTGTGGCCGAATCAAAAGGCTAAAAAAGAAGTTCAAGGTCATTGAGAAAAGAAGCCTCATCTGCTGTTAGCGGTGGAGGTGCCTTTTTTGTGTCTAGTAGGACTTGAGAAACAGCGTCTTTTATTTTCAGGATCCTGCTCATCATTTTGTAGCAACTATTCCAGCGTGTTGGAACTTCTTGTGTCAATCCATAACAGGAATCGGGTCCCTGAGAAGTTTTTAGCTTTGAATAAGCTATCGAGCTACTTTTAAAAAGGTTACAATACGTTTACACTTGGAACCGATCGGTTTTATGTTTTCCAACAAAAGAGTGTCTTGCATAATTAAATTTAGCGTGTGAGCAAAACACGGCATATGCCTCTTTTGAAGAATGGAGCAGGCTTTGATCATGGACGCAGCATTATCTGTAACAATGGCAGATACTTTTGTCAATTCCCATTTGGACAAAACCGTATGTATAGAGATGGCGATATTTTCGCTTGTCTGATCCTGATCGCTTAAAAGTTTTTTTGTCGACAAAACTGCGGTTCTGATCTCAAAGTCTTCCAAAAGAAAATGACATGTGACCGTCAAATAGTGGTCATTTGCCCTTGATGTCCAGCCATCCTTTGTCAATGCACAGTACCTTACATTTCTTAGTACGTCCATTAGTTTTTTCTCCATGTTATTGAACATATTTGTTAAAAAAACATAATTTAGTGTTCTTCGGCTAGGTAATGAGTACTGCGGATCTAGGCAGTGGACAAAATAGCGAAAGCCTATGTGATCAACGATTCGGAATGGCTGAAAGTCAGTTGCGATCATTCTTATCAAAGCCTTATCAAGCGCATCTTTCCGGGACGAGCCACTTTCGTATTTCCTTGGCTGTGTGGAGTCGTAAAACTCTTCTAGCAAAGTGGGATACGCTCGCGTCATCTCGTTAAAAAGATTAGTGGTGTTGCCACAGGTCTTGTACACCTTCCCACAGGTTAGGCATTGGGCCGCTCCACCTTGTAATCCTTTAAAATAATTCCAGACATTGGACCTGTGACATTTTCTTTTACGCTCCGCTCCGCTGTTTAACTCCTCATCTGTTTCCTAATCAATTATAATAAAAAGTTATACATATTAATAACAAATTACAAATAAAGCACTTATTATAAGTAACTTGCTTTTTTCAATTTCCAAGAAACAGCTATTTCTTGGAACTTGAAACAAAATACTAAAATGGCAGCACCAGACTGCCAGCATGTGGCTCATACCGAATTAATTACCTTTTACTTCCAAAAATTTGTCTATTTTGTCCAATCCTCCGATCCACCAACACACGAAATTTTTGTATGGAAATAAAAAATAATAAATAAGGATTTTGAAACCCTTAAAACCTAAATTACCTTTTCAACCCATGCCTTTTTGAATGTGATGAAACTTGGCCTAAAAGATCGATTCTTTGAAAAAGAAATCGTTGTTTTCACGAAATTAAAAAAAATCGATAGTATCGATGTTGACATCGATTTTTTCGCAGCACTAGTACCTAAAACTTTAAACGCGTTTTTCTCGAAACCACTTTTTTTGAGACTGCCGGACACATACATAACTCGAACAAATATTAACCGATCGATCTGAAATTTGGACAGTATATTCAAAATACCTTTATTATTTTACACACGTAGGATTTTTTTATATTGTTTACTTTTTTTTATCAACAATTTTGTGACTTTTTTATTCGTGAACATTATAACTTTTTTTCAATCCGTCACCATTTTGAAAAAAATCAATATATCGCAAAAATCCTACGTGTGTCGATAGCTGTTGATGTATAGAAACTAACCAAACTTTTTTGTTCTAAAAAATTAAGGACGTTAGCTGTCCGGCCATGGACCCCCTTCAACAAAAAAAGGCCTACGAAGAAATGCTGCTGTTTTCGATTTATTCGAAAAAAATTTATTTTGTACTTCGCATCTATATTATAAAACCTATTTTACAAATTTTCGATTGGCTTTTTCATTTGGCCAGAAAATTCGCTTTTTTTCCAGTTACTCAGACGTTTATTTATGTTCAATTTACCAATTAGGACCAAATGTTACGGCCCTTATTATTAAAACGTACCTCCACGAATTTCACCAGAATGCAGGAACCCGATGACGGCAATAACGCACTAAAGCGACAAAAACCACTAAAATGTGGTAACGCGTTTTAAGTTCGAACAGTTTCATTTGTCCTAGTTTCACAACAGGGACAAGAATCAAAACTTGGGTTTAAATTTTAAACTACAGAGTATGAATCTTATAATATGTGGTGTTGAATTACTACTAAGTATAGGTTTCATACTATTTGGTAATAAATTAATTCTGATTTCCTGTATACTGCCTGTAGTTTTTTCTTGAAGCCAGGAGTATTAATTTTAAACTTATTTTTATGTGGTATAAAAATTACACCACATATTAGAATTGTAGACTCTACGGTATAGAATTGACACTAAAAAGTATAGGCATTATTATTCATATTCTTAGGTATTGAATTAATACGTATACTTTAATACTGTCGATAATTTCTTTTTAATACACGTTTATTAAAATTACACTTTCGTTTTTTTTAGGTGTAGATCCTTGGAACTGGTAACGGCGTAATATGCGCTCTCCTTATAGTGAGAAGACGAAATTTGTTTTTATTTTTGACAGTTGTGTTCCGTTTTTATATATTTTTAAGTAAACGACTATGCCAAAGTTTCCAGCTGTATTAAATGAAATTCCGAATATTATTCTTAGCATACAGTTTGAGGCTAAGATTAATTAAATAATATTAAACGTATTTTAATTGCCGGAGAATAACTATCATCGGTAAAAATAAAAGTCGCTATACGTAATAAAAGTCAAAAGATGGCTGCAGCAATAGATTAAAAAAAATGTATTGGCAATAGATGGCGTCAAAATTTAATTCAAGACCTCTAGCGGAATGGCAAATAACATAAAAAAACATCGGTAGGCGATGAATTGCCCAAAAATCGATGGCGATAGATGGCACATTATACGGTCCTCACAGAGCCACTTACAGTTTTTGCGAAAAAAAGTAGATAGAGGTAAAATCAAAATTGGACTACCGCCAACAGAAGTAATAATAACGCAGAACTAAAAACAAATTACACATTAGTAAGTGAAATTTTTTACAATTTTAAAAACATACGAAATCTATCAAATTCATTCATGATTGTTCTATAACACCTTTAATAAATAGTAATCCGATCAACACGATTTCTTAGCGTCATTTAAGACAAAATCGCTGTTGATTTAATATGCCATTCAAATTCACAAGTGATTCAGGTTTCAGACTCTTAAAACTATATTTGACCCAAACCTTATTTTTATGCAATTATACATAAAATGTTATTTTGACGAGATATATGTATGACAACCATATATAAAATCTACAGCAGAGCTCTGTTGGCGTCGATGTTTTACATACTTGCAGTACATTTTGACGAGTAATTATACCCGTTACTCGTAGAGTAAAAGGGTATATTGTATTCGTGCAAAAGTATGTAACAGCTAGACGGAAGCGTTTCCGACCCTATAAAGTATATATATTCTTGATCAGGATCACTGTCTGTCCGTATGAACGCTGAGATCTCGGAAACTATAAAAGCTAGAAGATTGGCATTTTGCATGTAGATTTTAGAAGTTTCTACGCAGCGCAAGTTTGTTTCAAAATGGTGCCACGCCCCCTTTAACGCCCACAATCGCTTAAATACGATTTTAAAAATTTAAATATTTCGGAAAAGTAAAAATGCAGTTTTATTGTGTTTATCAATACCTATCGAAATGTAGAAGAAATTTTTCAAATCGGACCATTCGTTAAAAAGTTATGCGTGATCAAAGTTTCTATCACCATCTCCCTCGCACTCCCTTTACCTGAGTAACGGGTATCTGATAGTTGGGGCACCCGACTATAGCGTTCTCTCTTGTTGAGGACTAATTTCCTGTAAAAAAAGGTTTTGAAAAAGTTAAAAATTAGAAAACAAAAATATTAAAACAAGAGCTACAAGCTACAACCTTTCTCCGAAAATCTAGTATGCTAAAAATATCTATATAGGGGTCACCATTAGTTATATAGCGTCAGTAAACCGCCGGTAGACTGTTGAAAACAACGCATTTTTCACGACACTTTCAAGAAACAAAAAGAGATAGTTCATACGAAAAATGACTGAAAGCGAAACGACTGTTGAATCTTTCATGAAGTGGAAACTCCCTAAGATTTAAATGTCAGCGTATCGGCGAGGAAATTGAAACAACGTGATTTTGAAGTCATTGAAGTGGATTTTTCGTTCGACTATCATTTCGTCACTTTTGTAACAGTTTTTGATGCCCTTTCGAACGTCGTTGTGTGTAAAGTGTGTCATTCTGAAGTAAAATTCTCAGAGAGCAGTAAACGAGGATTGGGATTTAAACTTGTTGTATCCTGTGATAAATGCGAGAAAAAAGAAATACCGAATAGCACATACATCAAGAATGCCTACGAATAATCGAAGAATTATTTTTGCCATGCGATTGCTTGGAATCGGTCTGCATGGAATAAGAAAATTTCGCGCGTTTATGGAATTGCCCCGCCCCGTCTTTCAAGCGACTTATGACAGTATTATCGCACACATTTTGTCTGCAAGAGAAGTAGTTTTCAAGAGCAGTATGTCAAATGCAGCACAAGAAGATGATGTTTTCGAAGCCATAAAGCCGGTATACCCGCTGCATTGGAGGATACACGCAAAATAACAATGAGAGTTTCAACTCGACTGTGTGGGCGATGGCTCCAAAAACGATGAATTTCGGTAAAAAAAATAATTGATATTGCTGCCAATATTGCTACATGTGTTTTTAACGATGGCTTCATGTCAATTTTGACTACATGTAATATCATGGGCTTGACAATCGGCTTGAAAAGTTTCGAGTTTTGCCAGGCAGTGGACCAGAACCGCATCAAAAAAGCAGAATAATCATTGAGTGATGGAGCAAAACAGGCCCGCCTCGACTTAAAAGCTGTTTGGAAGGAGAAGCAACAGGTGGACATCGATATAGAAGGCCAATTGTATGATGCAGGCATCGCAGATTAAAGGTAATTGAAAGTTTTATACGATTTTACAGTACTTAATAGAGCTGCGAAAAAATCGATTCTCAGTGCATCGATTCTTTTCGATCTTTTAAGAAATAAAATCGATTAAATCGATTTTTTTTTTTAATGTATATTTTTTTTATATTGAGATCATTTACTTCATTCATATATCTTATCATATAACTTAAAACTAAAAAACAAAGAAAATTAAAAATATTCATAATAAAAACAACAATTTTTAAGCTTCTAAAAGCCATTGATTTCTGCCCACAAAAATCAGTCTATTAACCGTATCCGGTTTGAGAGCTGCTCGTCTGTCCGAAATTATGTAGCTGGCTCTGCTGAAAATTCGCTCAGACTCCGTCGAGCAAGCTGGAATACACAAATATCGATACGCACACTTCTTTAAAAACTCCATTTCAGTGGCGTGGGTCTGACGAAAAAGAAAACGTAGTTATGATCTTAGCAGTGAAATAAGATTAAATAAATGAACAAACCTTCTAATAGTGCAGGACACTAATATTTGGACTATCAAGTGGCTTCTCCAAATATTGTCGAAGAACAATTATTGAATCCGATTTTGGAGTTTTGGCTCCGTTTGACAACTTCGCTTTCATAAACGAAAAAAGGCAGCATCTCCTCCGGAATCTCGGGCTGGGGTTTCGTGTGTTGGTGGATCCGGTGTTGAAACAGAATCGGAATTCAAATTTTTGGCAAGTTCGGATATTTCATTTCGAAGAAATTCAGCAGCTGAATCAGCACAACTGCTGCTTCGGAAACCTTCTTTCTTGAATCTCGGATCCAGTATGGTGGCGATTTTTGGAACTGTTCGATTTTCGTATTGAAAAAGCCGTTTGTTTATTTGTTCCAGCAAAAAGTTGCAAGTCTCTATGCCCTTGAAAGTTTTCAATGTCTTGTGCATGTCGCTGACACGGTGGTTGAGATCAGCAGAGAGTGGTATAACTAATGATATAGTCGCTTAGGTGCTTCCAGAAACCCTGTTTGTGGCCGAATCAAAAGGCTCAAAAAGAAGTTCCAGGTCATTGAGAAAAGAAGCCTCATCTGCTGTTAGCGGTGGAGGTGCCTTTTTTGTGTCTAGTAGGACTTGAGAAACAGCGTCTTTTATTTTCAGGATCCTGCTCATCATTTTGTAGCAACTATTCCAGCGTGTTGGAACTTCTTGTGTCAATCCATAACAGGAATCGGGTCCCTGAGAAGTTTTTAGCTTTGAATAAGCTATCGAGCTACTTTTAAAAAGGTTACAATACGTTTACACTTGGAACCGATCGGTTTTATGTTTTCCAACAAAAGAGTGTCTTGCATAATTAAATTTAGCGTGTGAGCAAAACACGGCATATGCCTCTTTTGAAGAATGGAGCAGGCTTTGATCATGGACGCAGCATTATCTGTAACAATGGCAGATACTTTTGTCAATTCCCATTTGGACAAAACCGTATGTATAGAGATGGCGATATTTTCGCTTGTCTGATCCTGATCGCTTAAAAGTTTTTTTGTCGACAAAACTGCGGTTCTGATCTCAAAGTCTTCCAAAAGAAAATGACATGTGACCGTCAAATAGTGGTCATTTGCCCTTGATGTCCAGCCATCCTTTGTCAATGCACAGTACCTTACATTTCTTAATATTTCTTAATATTTTGTTAAAAAAACATAATTTAGTGTTCTTCGGCTAGGTAATGAGTACTGCGGATCTAGGCAGTGGACAAAATAGCGAAAGCCTATGTGATCAACGATTCGGAATGGCTGAAAGTCAGTTGCGATCATTCTTATCAAAGCCTTATCAAGCGCATCTTTCCGGGACGAGCCACTTTCGTATTTCCTTGGCTGTGTGGAGTCGTAAAACTCTTCTAGCAAAGTGGGATACGCTCGCGTCATCTCGTTAAAAAGATTAGTGGTGTTGCCACAGGTCTTGTACACCTTCCCACAGGTTAGGCATTGGGCCGCTCCACCTTGTAATCCTTTAAAATAATTCCAGACATTGGACCTGTGACATTTTCTTTTACGCTCCGCTCCGCTGTTTAACTCCTCATCTGTTTCCTAATCAATTATAATAAAAAGTTATACATATTAATAACAAATTACAAATAAAGCACTTATTATAAGTAACTTGCTTTTTTCAATTTCCAAGAAACAGCTATTTCTTGGAACTTGAAACAAAATACTAAAATGGCAGCACCAGACTGCCAGCATGTGGCTCATACCGAATTAATTACCTTTTACTTCCAAAAATTTGTCTATTTTGTCCAATCCTCCGATCCACCAACACACGAAATTTTTGTATGGAAATAAAAAATAATAAATAAGGATTTTGAAACCCTTAAAACCTAAATTACCTTTTCAACCCATGCCTTTTTGAATGTCATGAAACTTGGCCTAAAAGATCGATTCTTTGAAAAAGAAATCGTTGTTTTCACGAAATTAAAAAAAAATCGATAGTATCGATGTTGACATCGATTTTTTCGCAGCACTAGTACCTAAAACTTTAAACGCGTTTTTCTCGAAACCACTTTTTTTGAGACTGCCGGACACATACATAACTCGAACAAATATTAACCGATCGATCTGAAATTTGGACAGTATATTCAAAATACCTTTATTATTTTACACACGTAGGATTTTTTTATATTGTTTACTTTTTTTTATCAACAATTTTGTGACTTTTTTATTCGTGAACATTATAACTTTTTTTCAATCCGTCACCATTTTGAAAAAAATCAATATATCGCAAAAATCCTACGTGTGTCGATAGCTGTTGATGTATAGAAACTAACCAAACTTTTTTGTTCTAAAAAATTAAGGACGTTAGCTGTCCGGCCATGGACCCCCTTCAACAAAAAAAGGCCTACGAAGAAATGCTGCTGTTTTCGATTTATTCGAAAAAATTTATTTTGTACTTCGCATCTATATTATAAAACCTATTTTACAAATTTTCGATTGGCTTTTTCATTTGGCCAGAAAATTCGCTTTTTTCCAGTTACTCAGACGTTTATTTATGTTCAATTTACCAATTAGGACCAAATGTTACGGCCCTTATTATTAAAACGTACCTCCACGAATTTCACCAGAATGCAGGAACCCGATGACGGCAATAACGCACTAAAGCGACAAAAACCACTAAAATGTGGTAACGCGTTTTAAGTTCGAACAGTTTCATTTGTCCTAGTTTCACAACAGGGACAAGAATCAAAACTTGGGTTTAAATTTTAAACTACAGAGTATGAATCTTATAATATGTGGTGTTGAATTACTACTAAGTATAGGTTTCATACTATTTGGTAATAAATTAATTCTGATTTCCTGTATACTGCCTGTAGTTTTTTCTTGAAGCCAGAAGTATTAATTTTAAACTTATTTTTATGTGGTATAAAAATTACACCACATATTAGAATTGTAGACTCTACGGTATAGAATTGACACTAAAAAGTATAGGCATTATTATTCATATTCTTAGGTATTGAATTAATACGTATACTTTAATACTGTCGATAATTTCTTTTTAATACACGTTTATTAAAATTACACTTTCGTTTTTTTTTAGGTGTAGATCCTTGGAACTGGTAACGGCGTAATATGCGCTCTCCTTATAGTGAGAAGACGAAATTTGTTTTTATTTTTGACAGTTGTGTTCCGTTTTTATATATTTTTAAGTAAACGACTATGCCAAAGTTTCCAGCTGTATTAAATGAAATTCCGAATATTATTCTTAGCATACAGTTTGAGGCTAAGATTAATTAAATAATATTAAACGTATTTTAATTGCCGGAGAATAACTATCATCGGTAAAAATAAAAGTCGCTATACGTAATAAAAGTCAAAAGATGGCTGCAGCAATAGATTAAAAAAAATGTATTGGCAATAGATGGCGTCAAAATTTAATTCAAGACCTCTAGCGGAATGGCAAATAACATAAAAAACATCGGTAGGCGATGAATTGCCCAAAAATCGATGGCGATAGATGGCACATTATACGGTCCTCACAGAGCCACTTACAGTTTTTGCGAAAAAAAAGTAGATAGAGGTAAAATCAAAATTGGACTACCGCCAACAGAAGTAATAATAACGCAGAACTAAAAACAAATTACACATTAGTAAGTGAAATTTTTTACAATTTTAAAAACATACGAAATCTATCAAATTCATTCATGATTGTTCTATAACACCTTTAATAAATAGTAATCCGATCAACACGATTTCTTAGCGTAATTTAAGACAAAATCGCTGTTGATTTAATATGCCATTCAAATTCACAAGTGATTCAGGTTTCAGACTCTTAAAACTATATTTGACCCAAACCTTATTTTTATGCAATTATACATAAAATGTTATTTTGACGAGATATATGTATGACAACCATATATAAAATCTACAGCAGAGCTCTGTTGGCGTCGATGTTTTACATACTTGCAGTACATTTTGACGAGTAATTGAGGACTAATTTCCTGTAAAAAAAGGTTTTGAAAAAGTTAAAAATTAGAAAACAAAAATATTAAAACAAGAGCTACAAGCTACAACCTTTCTCCGAAAATCTAGTATGCTAAAAATATCTATATAGGGGTCACCATTAGTTATATAGCGTCAGTAAACCGCCGGTAGACTGTTGAAAACAACGCATTTTTCACGACACTTTCAAGAAACAAAAAGAGATAGTTCATACGAGAAATGACTGAAGGCGAAACGACTGTTGAATCTTTCATGAAGTGGAAACTCCCTAAGATTTAAATGTCAGCGCATCGGCGAGGAAATTGAAACAACGTGATTTTGAAGTCATTGAAGTGGATTTTTCGTTCGGCTATCATTTCGTCACTTTTGTAACAGTTTTTGATGCCCTTTCGAACGTCGTTGTGTGTAAAGTGTGTCATTCTGAAGTAAAATTCTCAGAGAGCAGTAAACGAGGATTGGGATTTAAACTTGTTGTATCCTGTGATAAATGCGAGAAAAAAGAAATACCGAATAGCACATACATCAAGAATGCCTACGAATAATCGAAGAATTATTTTTGCCATGCGATTGCTTGGAATCGGTCTGCATGGAATAAGAAAATTTCGCGCGTTTATGGAATTGCCCCGCCCCGTCTTTCAAGCGACTTATGACAGTATTATCGCACACATTTTGTCTGCAAGAGAAGTAGTTTTCAAGAGCAGTATGTCAAATGCAGCACAAGAAGATGATGTTTTCCAAGCCATAAAGCCGGTATACCCGCTGCATTGGAGGATACACGCAAAATAACAATGAGAGTTTCAACTCGACTGTGTGGGCGATGGCTCCAAAAACGATGAATTTCGGTAAAAAAATAATTGATATTGCTGCCAATATTGCTACATGTGTTTTTAACGATGGCTTCATATCAATTTTGACTACATGTAATATCATGGGCTTGACAATCGGCTTGAAAAGTTTCGAGTTTTGCCAGGCAGTGGACCAGAACCGCATCAAAAAAGCAGAATAATCATTGAGTGATGGAGCAAAACAGGCCCGCCTCGACTTAAAAGCTGTTTGGAAGGAGAAGCAACAGGTGGACATCGATATAGAAGGCCAACTGTATGATGCAGGCATCGCAGATTAAAGGTAATTGAAAGTTTTATACGATTTTACAGTACTTAATAGAGCTGCGAAAAAATCGATTCTCAGTGCATCGATTCTTTTCGATCTTTTAAGAAATAAAATCGATTAAATCGATTTTTTTTTTTTAATGTATATTTTTTTTATATTGAGATCATTTACTTCATTCATATATCTTATCATATAACTTAAAACTAAAAACAAAGAAAATTAAAAATATTCATAATAAAAACAACAATTTTTAAGCTTCTAAAAGCCATTGATTTCTGCCCACAAAAATCAGTCTATTAACCGTATCCGGTTTGAGAGCTGCTCGTCTGTCCGAAATTATGTAGCTGGCTCTGCTGAAAATTCGCTCAGACTCCGTCGAGCAAGCTGGAATACACAAATATCGATACGCACACTTCTTTAAAAACTCCATTTCAGTGGCGTGGGTCTGACGAAAAAGAAAACGTAGTTATGATCTTAGCAGTGAAATAAGATTAAATAAATGAACAAACCTTCTAATAGTGCAGGACACTAATATTTGGACTATCAAGTGGCTTCTCCAAATATTGTCGAAGAACAATTATTGAATCCGATTTTGGAGTTTTGGCTCTGTTTGACAACTTCGCTTTCATAAACGAAAAAAGGCAGCATCTCCTCCGGAATCTCGGGCTGGGGTTTCGTGTGTTGGTGGATCCGGTGTTGAAACAGAATCGGAATTAAAATTTTTGGCAAGTTCGGATATTTCATTTCGAAGAAATTCAGCAGCTGAATCAGCACAACTGCTGCTTCGGAAACCTTCTTTCTTGAATCTCGGATCCAGTATGGTGGCGATTTTTGGAACTGTTCGATTTTCGTATTGAAAAAGCCGTTTGTTTATTTGTTCCAGCAAAAAGTTGCAAGTCTCTATGCCCTTGAAAGTTTTCAATGTCTTGTGCATGTCGCTGACACGGTGGTGGAGATCAGCAGAGAGTGGTATAACTAATGATATAGTCGCTTAGGTGCTTCCAGAAACCCTGTTTGTGGCCGAATCAAAAGGCTCAAAAAGAAGTTCCAGGTCATTGAGAAAAGAAGCCTCATCTGCTGTTAGCGGTGGAGGTGCCTTTTTTGTGTCTAGTAGGACTTGAGAAACAGCGTCTTTTATTTTCAGGATCCTGCTCATCATTTTGTAGCAACTATTCCAGCGTGTTGGAACTTCTTGTGTCAATCCATAACAGGAATCGGGTCCCTGAGAAGTTTTTAGCTTTGAATAAGCTATCGAGCTACTTTTAAAAAGGTTACAATACGTTTACACTTGGAACCGATCGGTTTTATGTTTTCCAACAAAAGAGTGTCTTGCATAATTAAATTTAGCGTGTGAGCAAAACACGGCATATGCCTCTTTTGAAGAATGGAGCAGGCTTTGATCATGGACGCAGCATTATCTGTAACAATGGCAGATACTTTTGTCAATTCCCATTTGGACAAAACCGTATGTATAGAGATGGCGATATTTTCGCTTGTCTGATCCTGATCGCTTAAAAGTTTTTTTGTCGACAAAACTGCGGTTCTGATCTCAAAGTCTTCCAAAAGAAAATGACATGTGACCGTCAAATAGTGGTCATTTGCCCTTGATGTCCAGCCATCCTTTGTCAATGCACAGTACCTTACATTTCTTAGTACGTCCATTAGTTTTTTCTCCATGTTATTGAACATATTTGTTAAAAAAACATAATTTAGTGTTCTTCGGCTAGGTAATGAGTACTGCGGATCTAGGCAGTGGACAAAATAGCGAAAGCCTATGTGATCAACGATTCGGAATGGCTGAAAGTCAGTTGCGATCATTCTTATCAAAGCCTTATCAAGCGCATCTTTCCAGGACGAGCCACTTTCGTATTTCCTTGGCTGTGTGGAGTCGTAAAACTCTTCTAGCAAAAGATTAGTGGTGTTGCCACAGGTCTTGTACACCTTCCCACAGGTTAGGCATTGGGCCGCTCCACCTTGTAATCCTTTAAAATAATTCCAGACATTGGACCTGTGACATTTTCTTTTACGCTCCGCTCCGCTGTTTAACTCCTCATCTGTTTCCTAATCAATTATAATAAAAAGTTATACATATTAATAACAAATTGCAAATAAAGCACTTATTATAAGTAACAGGCTTTTTTTCAATTTCCAAGAAACAGCTATTTTTTGGAACTTGAAACAAAATACTAAAATGGCAGCACCAGACTGCCAGCATGTGGCTCATACCGAATTAATTACCTTTTACTTCCAAAAATTTGTCTATTTTGTCCAATCCTCCGATCCACCAACACACGAAATTTTTGTATGGAAATAAAAAATAATGAATAAGGATTTTGAAACCCTTAAAACCTAAATTACCTTTTACGACCAGCGTCAACCCATGCCTTTTTGAAAAAAAATTTACACTGTTAACTTTACGAACATTATAGGATTCGGATAACACTAAAGAAATGTGAATAAAAGGGTACAACAGATGTACGTTAGTTTTTAAATATATCGAATTGTAAAAAATTTTTCAATTGGAGGCTATCGAAAAGGTGAGCGCTTTGACGAAGTACTCAAGCCGTTAAAAAAAACACTAAAAAAACCTAATTTAACTGATAGTTCTTAGGACCTAAGCTATAGCTATAAAGTTACAAATTGTAAGATTTTAAGCTCGCAAACGGTATATAAACTTTAGAGGACGGACGCTGTAAAAACTAAACTCGTCTAGTCATGCTGATCAAGAATATATTTTATTTCTAGAGTCGGAAATGTCTCCTTCACTGCGCTACAAACTTCTGACCAGTTTTATATACGCTCTGCAAGGTGTAAAAATATTATTCAGTACCGGAGTTTTTCACGGTCCTTGCAATAGTACCGGCTTCTTTTGTTTTCCGAGGCATTTGGAGAGTAGGCGAATAATTAAATGCACTTTTATTCGAATCGGATTTATAGATATACGGACATTAATTTGGAAAATAATTTTCTTTAATAAGAGCTAAAGAGACGATCGCTGGAAGTCTTTCTTTTTTATTTTCTTTACTCAGTTAATATAGGCAATTAAAATGTTTTTTGTATTTTTATACCCTTTCATTAAAAATTTGGCATCGCAGTGAACCCATAAAGTATATATATTCAGCATCACCCGATCCACCTGTCCGTACTTACGTTTCTACGCAAACTCCTTCTAAAGCTTATTGGATGTAACCTTGCAAAAGGTTTTCTTTCTGCAGCTAAGATATAAGTCGGAACGGGACCGATCGGCCCAGTATATAGCTTAGGAATAACCGGGAAAAAAGGGAAATGAAATTATAACTTTGTTGTTGAAATACGGTTTTATCTTTATAACAAGAAAGGAAAGCTAACTTCGGGCGGAGCCGAAGTTGATATACCCTTGCAGAATACTCTGTAAATTATATTCTCCAAAATTATTCATATGATGCATTCTTAATACTCATAAAAAATCCAAACTTCCTAACTTTAAAAACACCAAAGTTATGGCATTTCCAATCGTTCAGTTATATGGCAGCTATAGGATATAGTCGGCCGATACTTATGAAATTTGGTAGGTCGGATTGATTGGCCAACTACAAAACCCATAGAAAATCCCAGCTTCCTAACTTTACAAACATCAAAGTTATGGCATTTCCGATCAATCAGTTATATGGCAGCTATAGGATATAGTCGGCCGATCCTAATGAAATTTGGTAGGTCGGATTGATTGGCCAAATATAAAACCCATAGAAAATTCTAACTTCCTAACTTTACAAACACCAAAGTTATGGCATTTCCGATCAATCAGTTATATGGCAGCTATAGGACATAGTCGGCCGATCCCGGCCGTTCCGACATATATACTGCGTGCAAAGGAAAGAAGGGTGTGTGCAAAGTTTCAACTCGATAGCTTTAAAACTGAGAGACTAGTTTGCGTAGAAACAGACAGACGGACAGACGGACATGGCTATATCAACTCAGGAGGTGATCCTGATCAAGAATATATATACTTTATAGGGTCGGAGATGTCTCCTTCACTGCGTTGCAAACTTTTGACCAAAATTATAATACCCTCTGCAAGGGTATAAAAATCTGACGAATTTATCATATAGCTGCCATAGAAACGATTGAAAAATATATCGGACTCTTCATTGTTTTCGAAATCATCGAAATCGAAATAAAGAATTTTGTATTTCTGTAGCAGCTGCAAGGTTCGGCTTGCTAAAACTTTCTTCCTTTCTTGTTCTTGTTGATTGGCTTTGAAAAAAAATAGTTCAAATTATCTGCATACACTATATATACAAATATAGAATAGGATATTATAGTTTGTATTTTTCAGCACAAATGCACTTGACATATTGTTTAGTAAGGTCCAATATTAAATATTTATTTTGTATTACTTATATTATTTAATTGGAATTTCGTCACGATTTTATTATTACATATGCGACCCGCCAAATGGCCAAAGCGACATCTATAAATTAGTATGCGCGGCTTAGCTCGTAAAGCGTCATCTAAGAGTCATTATTTTTGGGTGGCGTCTTGACTAGGATTGGAACAAAATACATTTAAAAAAGGGGATTGCATATATCCTACCTCTCATTCTCGCCCTCTTGCGGAAAAACACGTAAAATAATGTAGGAATCGGGTGCCGTAAAATAACCTTTTTGAACCGCAAGTGCGCGCGAACAGGTTTAAGCACATTGAAATAACAGCATGGAAGTTTTGTATAACATTTACGGAAAATTTTCTGGCAATCAATCATGTCAATCATTTTAAAAAATGTTTAATGTTCTATTCATGCCTATGTGGATAATTTTACTTTGGAAATTAAAAATGGTATATAAATAATTTGTATACTGCTTTTAAACAATATATTATTTTATAACATTTTAGTTAAAGTGTAGGGGCCGCATATTATTAACATATATTTTTTACTACTAAAATTATTTATTATAAATTAAATAATTTTTATTAAGTTAAACTCTTCAAATATAGAATTTTATTTTCGACCAATTTAAACTGTTCAAGCCAGACAT